GGCATTTCTGGAGCAGCTTAACAGTCAGGGAGCCCATCTGCACCCTATTTATTCACATATTGATAGACAGAATATGTATTTATACATTTATATCCAGAAGGAATGGTCCCAGGAGGTTTATGGGCCCCTGGCACAGGCGATTCCACGGATGCCTGGAAATTTCCAAGGCCAGACTGGAGGGGTTTGGAGCACCCTGGGACAGTGGGAGGTGTCCCTGCCATGGCAGGGGTGGCACTGGAGATCTTTAAGGTCCCTCCCCATCCAGCCCGTTCCAGGATTCCACTGGAGGGAACTGGTCCCCTCCTCAGCAGCTCCTCACACTTCGTTTGTCCCTCTGACTCAGAGTCACAAACATTTTGAGGTGTCTAATAAATGCAAATAAGCACCTCGTGGCTTCTCCTAGCCCTCCTTCTTTCACTGAGCTCCAAATTACTGTTTTCAGTGACAATTGCAGGCGCTTAAAATAAGTGTGAAATCTCTCTGGACTTTTGACAACCTCAGGCTTTCCTTATCTCCCAGTCCAGCTGAGACACCGGTTCCAGAACAGGCTCTGTGGCTGCATCAGCTTCCCCAAGAGCTCAGCAGCCAGACTCAGCTTGAATTAATGACCCTGAGAGTTGAGTGGGATTATCTTTAATGTCCCTTCCAACCCAAGTCATTCCATGATTCCCTGATTCCATGGATTCCTCCCGCCTGACGGAGAATTGACTCAAGGGCCTCCCCCAGAATAGAGTTTTATCCACCCAGATGAAACATTTCTCCATCACAGCAGCTTCCAGAAGACTTCAGATTTTCCTAAGCTCTAAAAGATTTTCCTAAAAGCTGTTGGGTTTCTGAACCATGGCCTGACAAATAAATAAAAATATTCATAGAATCCTAAAATAGTTTGGGTTGGGAGGGACCCTAAAGATCACCTCATTCCCCGATCCCTGAGTTGTTCCTGTGTCTCTCACCTGGATAAAAGTCACAGGAAAGGGACAATCACCCATTGTACCCATTTTATTGTCCTAAAACCTTGGCCTGCTCTGAGAGAAACTTGGGACCAAAGAGCGAAATGCGGGAAAGAATAAAAATTACAAAACCACTTAAATGAAATGGGACCCCACAGAAACCGGGGGCTGAAAACAGGTAAAATCCTCCCACAAACCCTTCCTGCTGAGGATTTGAAACCCCCTCCATCCAGGAGGAGCGCGAGCAGGAAAATATTGTGGCACAAATGGAAAAAACAGCTGATGGTTGGCAAACGGAACGGAAAAAACTGGGATTGGGGACGTCATTCTGGCGTCACCTCCGGAGTCGAGGCGTTGGGTCCCGGGTAGTCACCAGGACCTCCCTCTAATGAAGTCCCTGGGAGCTGTGGCTGTTAATTACAGTCCCTTGTGTCAGGGGGAAAAACCTATCAATCAAAATGTGACTCTGCCACAGAGAACCAGGGGCAGCACGCGGGGAAGGAGTCAACCTGCCAGAGTTGATGCAATCCCAGTTGCCCAACGACAAATCACTTAATAACTCCAGGGATAGGTTCATTTTTGCCACAGGAATATGCAATTGCCTCTAGAATTCCCTTCTAAGCAGATTGGGAAATTCCTCACTTATTAAAGTGCTGAGGAAAAAGTCATCGTTGGTTTTTTCCTGACTGCGTCGAGTCGGAAATGCTAAAAACAAGACACAGGAGATAAATATGAATATGAGGGTTTGTGTCAGCATTGCCAAGAGATGCCTAATTCCAGGACAACCCTTTGGGAGATATAAAAGTCCGGCATCCCCTGTCCATCCTTCACTCAGCATCAGCTCCCTGAACTCTTCCTCTTGCTCCAGCCAAGGGTGAGTTGGACTATGTTGATTTATCTACTCTTGAGCAGCAGAAGGTCACAGAGTTCTGAGTTTAGACTTTGCCTTTGTCTTAGAAATTCCTTGTTTTTGATGACTGGGTGTCTGAACAGACACAAGGATTGCTTGGTTGGCTCATGGGTGGGATGGCAGAAAAGCCTTGGGACCCAGTAAGGAATTCACTCCCAGACTGGCAGGTGATGGAGGCAGAGAGAGCTCAGACGAGTCAGAGCAGTTTTAGAGGAAAATTCTACCTTCAAAAGCCAACAGGAGCATCTTGGGAGGGAAATTCCCCTCAGAGCCGCACCATCGTGAAGTGCCCTCCAAAGGGAAGGTCCCCATGTCCTGTACATCCCAAAACAGAGGGAAACATTTCCCATCCCAGTCCCAAAGAAGAGCCCAGGAAGGGGTGGCTGGCCCAGCCTGACCATCTCTCTCTTCCCTCCAGCTCTGCCAGAACTCCAGGACGATGTGCTCCCGCGAGTCCTCCCACGACTACGATTCCTCCTGCCGCGGGTCCCGCTCCTCCTGCCACAGATCCTGGTTCTCCTGCCACAGATCCCGCTCCTCCTGCCACGAGCCGGAGCCCTCCTGCCGCGACATCCAGAGGCAGCCGGTGCAGAGATGCACCTACGTGACGCCCTGCTGTCCCCCCGTGCAGCGCTACTGTCCTCCTGCCCCCTGCTGCCCCCCTGTCCCCTACTGCCCCCAGGTGCCCTGCTGTCCCCAGGTGCCCTACTGCCCCCAGTACACCAAGAACATCTGGAACCTTCCACCGGCGTGTCCCAAGTACTGAACAGGATCCAGCCCTGGCAGCCGGAGCCGCCGTCTCCTCCCTTGGACACCCCGACCTCGGCTCGGCTCGTCCCCGCTGAAATCCCTGGGTCTCCACCATGTGGGATCTTGGTGGGGGTGAAATGTTCCCCTAATTAACATTTATGGTGTTATTCTTGCCAATTATTCGGGAAATGTCCTTTCTAATTATTCAGGGTGTAATTGTTTGTTGGGAATCTTTCTCTGCCTTGCACTTCTGTTTCAGACTCATCTGGGTGTGGGAAACAATAAATCTGATTCATGAGACCCTCGTTGCCTTTGAATTCCTTTATTCTCTTTTTATTTGAATTTTGCAATTTTTTCAGGGGTTTTTAATTCAAATTTCTTTGCATTTCCAAAGTATCCCTACAGATGGTGGCAAATAATTCCCACATTCATTTGGTAATGAATGGAAGTCAGTAAAGGAAAGGGGGAGATGGTCAAAGATTGGACTCTATGATCTCGAAGGGATTTTCCCACCTCAGTGATTCCAGGAAATTAAATGGAAGGTGAATAAATAGGTCACACTGCTCCTTCTCAATATACAATGACTTACTCCAAGCTCGATTTCAGACCTTAGATATAAATATTCAAATATCTGAAAGCCTTTGAGCCTCTGAGAAGAGAAGGTCGAAATTCCTGTGAAAGAACTGTGAACAAAGGATGATGGGAACTCTGCTGAGATCCTGTTTTCCTGAGCAGGCCCTGATTTGAAAGGTTCAGAGACCTTTTTTGGGTGTTTTTGGAAGGCTCTTGGGGAGGTAGAAAGATTTTGGAGAGCATCAATGTGGACAAAAGGAGAACTGTCACCCAAGCTCCCACTTTGCCACCTGGGTGGCTGCTGAGGGACCCACACATGAGCCACCAAACGTCCCTGAGGAATTCCTGACATCCTCCCTTGCTCCACAAAACTCCCCACGAGGAATTGGCTGCTTTTACCCTGGAGAACAGCTGTGGGACAGCCCCGGACTGGGAGATCTTCCCTTCCCAGTCAGTGAATTGCTCCAATGGGCAGTATTTTCCCAGGAGTTTGGTTTTTTTACATTTCAAACTTTGAGTCAAACAGGGCCATAAATCCAGCTTTAGTGCCCAAACTTCCACGAGTAATGACAAAACCCAATGTTTGCTCAAACTTCCGCTCCTCTTCTCTGAATCCCTTGGTGGGGTCAGGTGAAAAAAATAAGTGAGGGATCACAGAAGGAAAGAGAAACCAAGGACTGGGAAAAATTTATTATTCTCAAACCTCATAGAGTGCTCAGGGTCAGATGTTTTTCTCTTTAATAACCTGTGATTCACGTGGAACAACCTGATGGGATCATCCCAGTCACCTGCCAAGCTGAGGGACACATGAAGAATCAGGAACATTTTATTTCTTGCCAGCCCAAGGAGATCCCGCTGGATTTTCCAGCGTTGTGCCATCTCCAGGAATTGCAGGCGGTAATCCCATTTCCTCTTGGCACTCAACAACAGGGGAATTAAAACCCTGAGCTGTCACCTGCACCCAACGGGAGACCAACCCCAGGAGTCAGCGTTTCTGAGACCTTTCTGTGCCTGATGCAATCCCGGGTGTCCCTCGTTCCTAATTAACACCCGTCACATCAGTGTCAGTCTCCAGGAAATGGGAAGAGAGCTGTCCTTCTGAAATCCCTGCCGTAGGAATCACCGGCGGGACGGGGCCCGGTGCGTCAAGGAGGGAACACCTAAAAATCAGGGGAAGTGCAAACATCTGCGGGATTGAGCGCAGAATTAATTAAGGTGTCATCGTGAGGAGGTGCCTCACACCCCGGGTAACCTCGGGAGAGGATAAAAGCTCCCTCAGCCCCGTCCTCCGCAGTCGCTCGCCTTCGCTTCCAGAAACTTCTTGCTGCAGCTGAAGAGGGTAAGACCAACCTCATCGTTTCTGTTCTTTAAACCTCCACGAGGGGTTTTTATGGATCTCATGGGAGCTGGGATTTGGGGAAGTGCCTCCTGCGTGTCCTGAGGGAGGGAGAGGTGGGGAATGGCAGATGGAAAATAAGAATTCCCAGGAATCCTGGGGAAGGTGCAGCCCCTGGAGGGATCCTGCGGCGACACAAACTCTGCTGGAACTGGGGCTTGGCAGATGGGCTCCTGGGGCTCCAATTGACTCACAGGGACCCAATTTCACACCCCAATTCCCAGAGCACTCCCAGCAGACCCAGCAGGATTGAGGGGGTGTTGAGTGTGGGTTAGGCAGGTGAAAAAGGGTGAGAAACAGTTCACGGGAGATATCAAGAAAAAATATTATTAAAAAGAAAGAGGAGGAATATAGGAAGAGAACCAGAGTCTCCTCTCACCACCTTGATTCCTTGCTCCAAACAGCTTTGCCAGAACTCCAGGACGATGTGCTCCCGCGGGTCCTGCCATGACTACGAGTCCTCCTGCCACAGATCCCGCTCCTCCTGCCATGAATCCCGCTCCTCCTGCTACTCGGGGCCCTCGTGCCACTACACCATCCAGAGGCAGCCTGTGCAGAAGTTCAGCTATGTGATGCCCTGCTGCCCCCCAGTGCAGCCCTGCTACCCTCCAGTGCAGCGTTACTGCCCCCCAGTGCAGCGTTACTGCCCCCCAGTGCAGCCCTGCTGCCCCCCAATGCAGCGTTACTGCCCCCCAGTCTGCCCCCAGGTCACCAAGAACATCTGCAAGCTGCCCCAGTGCTACCCCAAATACTGAGGCAGGATCCAGCACCGGCTCGCTCCTCGCCTGCCCCTTCCAGCTCGTCCCAGTGCTCGCAGCTGTGCAGCTTTGTCACTTCTCTCCAAGAAAAACCTTCTAAAACTGCCGGAGGTGATGCAGTCTTAGGATGAAACCTCTCGGTTTAAGGAGCTCTGAGCTGTTTATCTTTCCTCTGCCAATTGCTGGGAATGGTTCCCTTCTTGCTTTGCTGCTTTGTCCTCCAGCAAGACAATAAAAATGGTGTTTCAAGCTGACCGAACAGTCCTGGATGTTTTCAGTCGCTGCTCCATTAAATTGGTTGGGTCGATGGTCAGGAGGGACATTGAGGGGCTGGAGTGTGTCCAGAGAAGGGAACAGAGCTGGGGAACGGGCTAGGGCAGCAGGAGAAGGGGCTGGAGAACTGCTGCGGGAGCTGGGTGGGCTCAGCTGAGAAGAAAGGAGGATCGGGGGGACATCAGGAGGAATTTCCTCTTGGAAAAGCATGGTCAGGCCTTGGAAAGGGCTGTCCAGGGAGGTTTGGAGCCACCATCCCTGGAGGTGTCCAAGGAAAGCCTGGAGGTGGCCCTCAGTGCTATGGGCTGGGTGTGAAGTTGGGGATCAGGCACAGGTTGGATTTGGTGGTCTGGGATCTCTTTTCTCTGGCATTGCTCTGGGATTCCATGCTGGTCTGACATCATCTCTGTTTTCTTGTGGGTTTGGAATAATAATTTAATCCCTGGAGCTGGAGGAATGCCAAGGAAACATGAAATCCATGGAAAACACCTGCAGGGCTGGGAGGAGCACATGGGGTGAATTCCTGGGGGAAACAAATCCTTACCCTGTTTGGGATTCAGGTTTCCACCTGACCTGTGTGTTCATGTTTTCCCGCATGTTTCTGCTCTCAAAGCCGCTGCTATTTTTGGAACCAAAATAAAATCAAATCCTGCAGGGTTTGGAACATGGAGCAGCCTCATTTAACCAGTTTCTGCAATGTAAAACAAGTGAAGGTTTCCCCAGCGTGATTCATCCCTCACCACCCATCCCTGGTGTGGGAAACAGCCTGGAATGAGCTGAGTGCTGCAATAGCCACTAAATGACCACTTGGTCAAAAAGCAATTGGAATTAGTTATTTATAGGTTCTGGAGAAAACGCTCATTAGCGAGGAATGGGTTAAAAAGGAAAAGTTGAGGCCGGGACAGAGAGCAATGAATGATTCACCTGCCTGGGGGTTCCTGCCCTTGCTGAGAGGTGGCTCAGCCTCACAGGAACCTGAAAATCTATTTTCTTACTCATTCCTGCCCTCCCTACAGGTGGGAATGGAGTTACTGAGGTTTCACGGCCACAGAAGTGGTTTGGTCTTCAAGCAGAGACTTTCACTTCCCAGTGCTGTCCCAGCTTCCAACTTTCTCCTCCATCACTGGCCACAGCACGTTTTATTTCCTTCCCCAAATCCAGAGAAGACCATAAAGTTGATAAGGAGCCTTTCCTCCATGGAGCCAGGCTGGGAATGTTGGGAATGTTGAGCCTGTGGAGACCTCAGAGCCTTTCCCAGGATCTGCAGGGGCTCCAGGGAAGCTGGAGAGGGACTCTTCCTCAGGAACTGCAGGGACAGGACACGGGGAAATTATTTCAGAGTGATGAGAGGAGTTTTAGGTGGGATGTAAGGAGGAAATTGTTCCCTGTAAGAGTGGGGAGGCCTCAACGTGCCACAAACATTTGGCAAGAGAAATCCTCTCCTCCGGGTGGCCTGAAGGGACATTTCTGCTCTCCACAACCAGGACAAACTGTGAGGAAACCCCCAGGGATTAATGGGGAGGAATTTGCCTCAGGAGTGCTTTCCTGGATCTCCAAATGAACAGAGCTCTGCTCCTTTGGGCACCTTCCAGAGCCTGCACAGTCCTTGCACTCAAAGCAAAATATAATTGAGACACTTTTATGGCCCTAATTTGAATGTTTTCCTCTGTAAAATTGCTGTTGGATCTATGAAGCCACCTTGCAGAGCTTTAAACACCTCTGGTGTTCCCATCCAATCCAACAATGGGGGTGGGGATTTTTTGGCTCACTGGATTGAATCCATGCACCGAATCTGTACAAAGTCCACATAAAACGGCCTCATTTTGGCCAACCTCTCTTCCATCACCTCCCAGCTCAGAATTTCCCACATTTCTAATGGTGGAGTTTCTCCAGAGGCTCTGGAATCCCCTGCCCAAGCCTCCTTGGTTGCTGATGGAGCCACGGGGGCTCAACCCATGCGAATGTCAATCACTAATTAGGAGATAATGAGCAGCACCTGGCAGCAAGGTCATTAACAGAGCTGAAGCCAATAGGAAATTAAGCTTCGAGGGAACAGGAACGTTGACCTTGGGATGGCCTTGCCTGGAGAAGTGGTGACTTCACGGTCCTGTGAATTCCTCAAAGCAGGACCAGCTCCTCGAATTGTGACGTAGCCAAACCATCAAGAGCAGAACTGGGGGAAACAGAGGAGTTGTGTCAAATGGAAGGTTCTGGTGACCCAAAGGGTCCTCAACGTCCAGAACTGGATGAGCAAGCACAGCCTAAATCGCCTCTCCCTCACCCCAGCAGAAGTGAAGGGTCTCCAGGGATGCAGGGAGTGCATCAGCCCTTCCCCTGGGGGTGACCTCAGACACCAAACATTTCCCCTGACCGGAGAGAGATCATTTTTTAATAAAGTCGTGGTTTAATTTGAGATCCTCTACATGCTCAGGACATCACACGGAGCTTTTATGCAAAACAGATATTAACATCCATCATTAATGGCTGATCACAACGTGATCATTAGCATCAGCGCTAATCGCTGCCAGCAGGTGACTGGGAGCTGAGCACGGAGTTTTTCCAGAATTAACATCCATGGGTGGCTCTTCCATTACTCAGGGCATCTTGGAATCTGAAAAGAATTGAATAGGAATTTTGCGGATCAAGTTATGCCGAGCATAAACAGGATGCAAAACTTCCAGAGCGGTTTTGCATTTTGCTTTTATTTAAATATGTCAAAGAGGAATTGGAAAAACACAGGCTCCAATTTGACCCAAAACCAATTCCGAATTTCCACAATGAATTTGCAGTGAAAATGTCTGATATTGGCAAGGCCTTGAGCCTGAGCGAGCTCAAGGAGAGTTTGGACAATGACCTCGGGCCCGGGGTGGGTTTTTGGGGCTGTGCAGGGCCACAGGTTGGTCTGGATGGTTCCTTTGGGTCCCTTCCAGCCTGGGATATTCCATGATTCTATTCCCAGGTGTTTTCCCATGCGCGGATGGGATGAGGTGGTGAGGGATGAGACTTTGAGAACTTTCTGGGTTTGCCCTTCTGGTGGCCCCAGAGAAGGACTATGGGCTCCACCATTTCTGCATTCAGACACAAAGCATGGGACCATGGAATTGAACTTCCTGGAATTCTATTTTTTAAATCATATCAAGGAGCAACTGACGTCCAGAAGCTTCTGCACGCCTCTGGAATCCACTGCACCTCAATCTTAATTAGGATTTTTATGTCAATTAATCATCTCCATGCACCAGCCTTACCGTATGCAAAGCGAGCAGAAACAACGCCTTTGAGCGTCCCACAAGAATTAACTCGACATTAAAAAATTGTAAAAAATTCACACGACAGATTGATAATAACCCAAAATTGAGGGGTTGGTCAAAAGCCACGAGGCAAAGACTGAACACATGAAGGCCCATTGGGTGAATAAGTACAGGCTTAGTGCGTAAATCACGGATTGCTGGGGGGTACCTCATGTCCGGCAGGACAACTCCGACCTGAATAAAAGGTCTCCAGGTGCCTCTGCTCCTCACACACCTTCAGCTCTCAGCAAGAACGGTGAGTGTTTCCTACCAGGGATCATTTGTTGTCATTTGGCTTTGGGCAAGTGATGAATTGAGGCTGGGTCTTTGTGTCTGATCTCTGCAGGGCGTTGGGCTGGATGGACCTTCAAAGGTGTCTTCCCACCCAAAATGTTGTTTGGTTCTGTTGGTCTGTGATTCCATGGGTTTATGGTTCCATGGCTTTGTGAGTCCATGGGTTTATGGTTCCATGGCTTTGTGAGTCCATGGTTTTATGGTTCCATGGGTTTGTGATCCCATGGGTCTACAGTTCCATGGGTTCATGGTTCCATAGGTTTGTGATTCCATGGGTTTACCATTCCAAGGTTTTGCAATTCCATGGTTTCAGTGTTCTATGGTTCCTGGGGGCTCCATGATCTACAGTTCTCCCTGAAATCCCGATTTTTCTGAGACTGTTGATCTGTTGCCTCTTGGAAAATGTGGAGAGAGCACAGAGGAAAAGGAGCTGCTCGGGGTGGAAATTCAGGGAGGGAACATCCTGGATGAGCACAGCACAGGCAGGTCCCAGGAGAGTTGAGAGATATCTCTGGGACAGAGGAACAGTTGGTTCGATTCCTGCCAGTATCTTGGGTTTCCAACTCAAGACAAAGAAATAGGAAGTGAGGTGGGATGAGGGCCTGGGCACTGTGGAAAGATGGGTTGAATCTCAAAGTCCTTTGTGTTCCAGGTCCTCGCTCCGGCCACCCTTCACTCCTCTCCCAACACCATGTGCTCCACTGGATGCTGTTCCACGGGATGTTGCTCTGTCGTGAAGAGCAAGACCGTGTGCTGCAGCCCCTGCAAGACGGTGTGTTGCAGTCCCTGCAAGACTGTGTGCTGCAGCCCCTGCAAGACTGTGTGCTGCAGCCCCTGCAAGACCGTGTGCTGCTCCCCATGCCAGCAATCCTGCTGCTGCGACCCGTGCCAGAAGACTGTGTGCTGTGACCCGTGCCAGTCTTGCTGTGACCCGTGCCAGAAGCCCTGCTGTGACCCGTGCCAGACTTGCTGTGACCCGTGCCAGAAGCCCTGCTGTGACCCGTGCCAGACCTGCTGTGATCCATGCCAAAAGCCCTGCTGTGACCCATGCCAGACTTGCTGTGACCCGTGCCAGAAGCCGTGCTGTGACCCATGCCAGACTTGCTGTGACCCGTGCCAGAAGCCTTGCTGTGACCCGTGCCAGACCTGTTGTGACCCATGCCAGAAGCCCTGCTGTGATCCATGCCAGACTGTCTGCTGTGACCCGTGCCAGAAGCCTTGCTGCGAGCCATGCCAGACCTGCTGTGATCCATGCCAGAAGCCTTGCTGCGAGCCATGCCAGACTGTCTGCTGTGACCCGTGCCAGAAGCCTTGCTGCGAGCCATGCCAGACCTGTTGTGACCCGTGCCAGAAGCCTTGCTGTGATCCATGCCAGACCTGCTGTGACCCGTGCCAGAAGCCTTGCTGCGAGCCATGCCAGACCTGCTGTGATCCATGCCAGAAGCCTTGCTGTGACCCATGCCAGACCTGCTGTGATCCATGCCAGTCCTGCTGTGACCCATGCCAGAAGCCCTGCTGTGACCCATGCCAGACCTGTTGTGACCCGTGCCAGACCTGCTGTGACCCGTGCCAGAAGCCCTGCTGTGACCCGTGCCAGACCTGCTGTAACCCGTGCCAGTCCGTGTGCTGCACCAAGGTGTGCCAGAAGTCCGTGTGCTGTGTCCCACGGCCCTGCTGCTGCCCCTGCGGGTCCCAGTCCTGCTGCTCCTACGTGGTGAAGAAGCCCGTGGTGGTTTGCTGCACCCCGGTGAGGAAGTGCTGCACGCCCTGCATCCCCATCCAGCAGTGCTGCGCCAGCCTCAGGAAGACCTGCTGAGCTGCCCCAGGTGGCTCTGAGGGCTCCAGGAATGGGCACAAGGAGGTGAAAAGCTGCTCGTTTGCTTTTGGTTTTCATGGTGATGGAGCCAATTCATAGAGATTTTCTTCTTCTTTCCAAGCTGAAGCTGCTGCTTCTTTCCATCCTTTAGTTATCCATTGTCTTTAATTATTGACTGCCTTGAGTACTCCTGAATTTATCACCCATTGTATAAGGCATTGGATATTAGTGGGGTGTTAATTCTCCTTTTGGTGTTTGGGAAACCTTTGGTGTCATTGTGACCACTCTTCATTTCCTCTCTTGACTTGTAGACAATAAAATTTAGCATTAAGCAAAACGCAACATTTGGTCTTTTGGTCGTTCTTACATGGCTTTGCCCTTAATTCATCACGTTGCCCAGGATTTGCCACCTTGCCCAGGATTTGCCACCTTGCCCAGAATTTGTCACTTTGCCCAGAGTTTGTCCTCATTCTGTCACATCTGTGCCGAGCTCTGGGTGTGTCCCGGCGGCACAGCAGAACAGTTGGGACACAAAGAGCTGTCCAGGCTCTTGGCACAAATTAAGCCACATCTGAAGCAAGCGGAGCATTCCTGATCCTCTGGAATGGGTGCCCAGAGGAGCTGTGGGTGCCCCTGGATCCAGGTTGGAGGGTTTGGAGCAGCCTGGGATAGTGGGAGGTGTCTCATGGCAAGGGGAGGAATGGGATGAGCTTTAAAGTCCTTTCCAGCCCAAACCATTCCTTGATTCCTTCTTGCCCCTCCTGGTCGTTCACCTCAGCTCAGATTTTACTACAAAATGGAAAGCTGAAGTAATTAAAACTCAAAGGGCGAGGACTGAGCACCATCTGAAACCACAGTACTCCATAAATCAGAGACTCCTCAAATATCCTGACTTGGAAAAGGTCCATCAGGATCATGGAGTCCAAGTCCTGCCCCTCCACAGACACCCCAAAATCCCACCCTGAGATGCGTTATCCAAACACTCCTGGAGCTCTGGCAGCCTTGGGGCCGAGCCCATTCCCTGGGCAGCCTGGGCGGTGCCCCACCACCCTCTGGGGGAAGAACTTTCCAGAAATATCCAACCTAGACCATCCCTGGCACAACTCCAGCCATTCCCTCTGGTCCTGCCCCTGGTCCCAGAGCAGAGATGGGAGCTGCCCCTCGGGAGGAAGTTGTGCACAGCTGTGAGATGCACAGGCGCTCACCCCTGACCTCGGAAGGGGTATTCCAATAGGTACCAGGAGGAATTCACTACTTACTGAACAGCAGGCAGCATCTTCTTCCCACCACCATCTTCCAAAAATAAAACCCCTTGAAATCCTTGAACGATTTTTACAGGAGCAGAGCGTTTCCCCCACGTATTCCTGGACTGCGAGCCCAGGAATGAAACCCGGGGTTGGCATCCAACCTAAAAGCCTCATTCCTAAAATAGCAAACCCGTGAGTCAACGATACTTGCCTCCCTGGCTGGGACTTTCTTTGCTATTAAAATTCAGGACTCAGCTTGGAATTGCAGGTCTGGAGAAAATGCCTGGAGCTCTGGCTTGATTTGCTTCCTCCAACCTGCACAAATCTGCATTAAAATCATCTTCTCTACATGTTTGACTCTCTGAAAACATTGTTTGGGTCTTTATTGGGTTTTTATTTATTTAAAGTCAGGCACAATGCGCGGGCAGAAGGATGTGCCAGATCAGAACGTTTTATAAAGCGCTTTCTGTTTAGGGAATCTTGTGAATGTTCATTCTATCCTTGAACCACAGAATCATGGGACGGGTTGGGTTGGAAGGGATGTCAAAAACCATCTCATTCCAACACGCCATGGACAGGGACATCTCCAGCTAGACCAGAGCTCCATCACATGTGGCCTTACCCTACTGGAGTAGCTTCAGGGACAGATTCACAAAGGTCTCAAACTCACAGAACCACCATGGATGTTTGAAAGACATCACAGGATGGGGCGTGGCCCATAAAAGGAACTTGGTGTAGATGTTATTTCTGACCCAAGCACAGGTTAAATGGTGTTGAACAGCAGGGAAAATGCTGGAAATACTGGCAGTGGTGGGGAGGTTCAGCCTGGAGAAGAGGCAGGTTTAGATGGGATATTGGGAAGAAATCCTTCCCCATGAAGGTGGTGGTGCCCTGGCACAGGGTATTCCATGGGTGCCCTGTCCCTGGAAGCGTCCAAGGCCAGGCTGGATGGGGCTTGAAGCAATTTGGGATAGTGGAAGGTGTCCCTGCCCATCCAGGAGGGTTGGACTGGATGATCTTCTGGGTTTCTTCCAACCCAAATCGTTCCGTACTTCTATGACTACAACACCAGGATCATCTTGGCCAACAGGACAACAATAAAACCCGATAAAAATGCGATGAATGATTGATTCAAGGGAGATGTTTGAGGGTTTACACAAGGAGGACGTTGCTTCCTGCAGGCAACTCTTGGTTATTATTGAGTGACCAAAACAATGCATCCCTGGGGACAATTCCAGAGGGGACATCCGACGTCACAGGAGGTCATGGTCACATCCTGGAAAGGCAGATCCTGTCCCAGTCACCCGGGATCACCTGCCACCACGTCAGCCTCACAGTCAGAGTCTCCTGCATGTGATAGCAGCCTCTTTTTGCCATGAATTGGTGCCGCCTCAGCATCCTGGAATTCTCATTTTTTACCCCTCTCATCACATGGAAACACCATCAACGTCTTCTAACATGGAGATGTCCCTGCTCTGCATGTGGCCACAGTTTCTCCTGTGAACACTCAAACATGATCACCACAAGTCTCCTCAGTCCCAGAAACCTTTGGGATAACCTCAGAAAATGGGATGTGTGGAACAAACACGGGGAAAACCCTCCCGTGTGCACTGCTGCTTTGAAAACCGCTTCATTTAGACTCAACCCATCCATTGCAGGGATGAAAATGAAAAAAATCATAGTAATACAATAAAAATTACAAAACAGGGAGTGTGAGGACCCAGCACCCCAAAGGGAGGCCCAAGAGTAAAGACTGAGAAAGGGGAAATTTCAGCCTAAACTTCGACCACAGAGGCAGGAAAAAAAGGATTGCCATTGACCAAAAATTTCCACTGTCCCCCAAAGATCCTGGCCAGGGGCAGAGGGGGCACCTGAGCAATGACAGCTCCAAGTTCCAGGCATGGTTGTCCCACTGCTTCAGCACCTGGCTCCCCCCAGGCACATTGTTAAGTGTCCCCGTGTCCCAAGGTGATTCCTTGGGAAGGGATGGGAATACCTCAGAGCTCCCTCCCTCCGGTCCCATTAACGCAAATCCATTAGAAAATTTGCATCTGTTGTTCCTCTGGAGGAGTAATTATGGGGCACAATTGAGGTGGTGAGCAAACAGAAAGAGGCAGAAATTAAACATCGGGGGAGGAAGACACGTGAGGGGATACCCCGGGTGATCCACCAGTTGGAATTGCCAAGGGATGCCTCATTTCCAGGGGAGGAGGCTCTGGAGCGAATAAAAGGCTCCCCAGCCCAGGGGTCTTCATTCGATCGTCGCCTCTTCTCCTCTCCTCTCCTCCCTCCTCTGCTCAGCAGGGTAAGCTGGACTTTGCTACTTGCCTTTACTTTGGGACTCTGTTTCCCTGGGCTTCTCCGGGATTTTCTGGGCTGTCTGGTTTGGGACTGGACACTGCAGAAGATTTGGGATCACAGATTGGTTTTGGGGACCAGAGATTGGCTTTGGGCTGTGCCCAGGTGGAGTCTCTCTGGCAGAACCAGTGCTGGACAAAAAGTCAAAAGCACGGGAGTCTGTCCTGGGATTCAGGACATCCCTGGCCAGTTTGGGACGGATTTGGGGATAAGAATGCTTTAAGCTACCTCAGCCTCTGGGAGATTCAAGCAGAGAAAAAGACAAATTCTCTCTTTCCCTTCCAGCTTCGCCTCCACTCCCATCACCAAGATGCCCAACGGATGCTGCGGTGGCGGAAGTAGCTACACCATGTGCTGCTACAGCAGCCCCAAGACCTGCAAGAGGCCGATGTGCTGCAGCCCCATGCAGTGCTGCAGCCCCTGCTGCACCCCCTGCTGCATGCCCATGCAGTCCTGCTGCATGTCCATGCCCTGCTGCTACACCATCAGCAGCAACAACAGCGGCTGCTGCGGGAGCAGCGGCTGCTGCGGCAGCAGCAACTGAACGCACCCGGCTCGTTCCCTCTTGGATACGGATTTGGATGTGGATAGCACCCCAAATGCTCCTCCTCCTGTGCTTAGAAGCTGCAGAACTCCTCTTCTTCTCCTGCCTTCCCTTGTGCTTGTGATGTGCCCTGAAGCCGCCGCCCAGCAAGTTTCTCCTGTGAGCGCTGGTGCGGCGCTGCTCTTCATTCTCCTCTTGGTGTGTGGGATGTTTCGCCCTTTTCATCACTGTTCTGCTTCAATCTTTCTGGAAAAAAACAATAAAATCTGTAGTTTGTGACCCTGCAACCTCTTGGTGTTGAGCTGTTTGTTCACTGGTGGATCCAGGGGGTTTTGCCGCGCCTTTCACCTTTTCCTGGCGTTTTTCCCCATTGTTTGCACTCTCCTGTCTCCAAGGTGTTCACTTAAATAAAACCAAGGCATCCCTGGTGGTAAATTAATTCAAACTGGAGTTTCTGACACCTCTGGGGGTGATATTTGCCTTCTTGGTATAAAATAGCAGAGAAATAGGAAGGGAATAGGAGAAAAAAAGGTTATGTGGAGACCTCACAGCACATTCCAGGACATGGAGCATCTCCAGAGAAGCTGGAAAAGGAATTTCATCAGGAACTGCTGTGGCAGGACAAGGGGCAGTGGGGTCAGACTGACAGAGGGGAAACTGAGGTTGGATATCGGGAAGAAATTGTTCCCTGTGAAGGTGGTGAGGACCCAACACGGGTTTTCCAGGGAATTTCTGGTTGTGCCATCCCTAGAAGTGCCCAAGACCAGGCTGGACAGGGCTTGGAGCCACCTGGGATAGTGGAAGGTGTCCCTGCCCATGGCAGGGGGTGGAATAAGTGGATTTTTAAGGTCCCTTCCAACCCAAACTAGTTTTTGGTTCTGTGAAAATATTTCATAAACTCACAAAAAATGGGAATGTTTTCAGGAAGAGTCTGACACAGATGAATCCCAGCCAGCCAAAATCTGACTCAGGTCCCACAGCCAGTCCCTGCAGACCGTCTGACACTCAGGACGTGGAGCTTCTGCCTCTGCCATCTGAGTTTCCAGACACTGCACTGAAGTTGTAAAACAAATGCTGAGAAACCTCTGCTGCCTTCAAGGGTCAGTTGGAACTGTACCAAAACATGGAAGTTCTGCACTGCCATCCTTTTGATGCATTTTATGCCATTTTCTGACTTTGTTTCCCCCCTGCTTCAGTCCCTTGTTTGCATTGTGATCCACATCCCGCTCCCCAAAAATTATTTGGGTACCTTGGCTCCACCAAGAGCTGGACATGACCATCCAGGGTGGGAAACGCCCGCCGCAACCTCCCTTCTCACAGCTGCCAATGGGAAATTTCCCTCAGGAGGAACAAGTGGAGTGTGTCCCTTTGCTTCTGCCCCATTCATTCCTCGTAAATTAATAAATTAATAAATGGATCTGTCCAGGTGCATTTGTCTCTCCCACCAGGAAGGAAATGCCGCGCGTGTTCTCCTGCCCTTCACGGAGAAGCCACAATTAGCGCGTTTCTTCTCCCGTGTTCCACTCCAGGAATTGCTCTCATGCCAGGGAAGCCTGGAAAGGAGCTGTTGGCATTTCCTGCAGGGATGAAACAGCTCTAAAATCTCAGTCTGCTCCCCTTAGCACTGCACAGAGAGCAAAGCAAGGTCCTTGTCACCATCCTCGGGGCTGGTCCCAGCTCACCTGGGCCGACCCCTCTCCTGAGCAGCCCCGGGATCCCTGGGGATGTCAGGCAGGAGCAGGGAACTGGCCAGGCAGGATCCACCATCCTCTCATTAGGCAGCTCTCAGGATAATGTGGCGAGGTCCTCAACTGAGAGCTGCAATTTCAGACCGTGAAAAAATTCCTCCCAGAATTCCTCCCCGGTGCTCCTGCCAGGGTTCCGCTGCCCAAGGCTCTGCCTTACCTTGATGTCCCTCCCTTCCTCTCTTCCTCACAGAAAATTTTTTCACCTCAACGAAGTCTCTTCCTGAGTCCTGGCCTCTCATTCAGCTCCACCAGCCCAGTGAGGAGCAGTTTCTGTGCTGGGCCTTTCTCTTCCACCTCAATCTTCTCACTTTTGGTTCATTCTGGGTTCCCTCCCATTCCAACACCCTCAGAGGGTCCTGCACCAACTCCAAACCCCTCCACCCCTGCTTAGGGCCAGGATTCCAGGACCCAGCTGGACTTCAGCTGGATGCCAGGGGAGGCTGCAGAGGGAAATGTTGATTTGGGTGCCACACGCCCAGTCTGGAGCCACTGTCCCTTGTGTTGCCTCTTGCACAGGCAGAGCTGCCCCTTAACCTTTGTATTGAAGTATTAATAAAAATACTACTAGGAATAAAAGTTAATAAATAAAGCGAGAACTTTCCAAACTTGGAAGTGTCCAAGGACAGGCTGGATGGAGCTCTGAGCAGCCTGGACATGTCCCTGCCCACGCTGTGGGGTGGAATTGGATGATCTTTAAGGTCCTTTCCAACCCAGATTTGCACGGAGTCACGTGCGGGTGACTGAGCCCCAGACATCCCAAAGACTCCTTCCTCCCTCTGAATTGTGGAAAAATAAATCAAACTCCACAACTTTGTAAAAAAGTTGTAAAGCCAGAATGTTTATTGCAGCACTGGGCACATGTTCCCCTTTTAAAGGACATGTGGCCCCCTGACAACTCTAGATCTTTTTTTATTTTTTCTTCTATTGAATACGCATAGAATTCCACAATAGGTTCATGAATATTCATTTCACTGGTTTCACATTATAGCTTGCAGTTAGTCCTTGTTCAGAGAATAGTCCTTGTACAGAGAACTCTCTGGTCACTTTGTTCATCTTTTGCAGACTCAGCTTTGGATTTTTTTTTCTTTTAGTTTCAAAGTTTAAGGGGCCTCTCTTATCTCTTCAGCTTGGAAATTCGCATTTTTTCTCCTCGGCTGGGGCAGTTTCTACAAGAGCAGCAGAGCTAGCAGATTAAAGAGCACATTTTACCTATGCTAGCATAATAATAATTCAAAGCAGCACATTTCACTTAAATCTGAATGGGTTTCTGTCCCATTACATTTACCCTGTAAAATACTCTGTTTCACCTCCTCACGTGCACATCCAGTGACCGGGAACAAACACCCCCATTTTCCTGACGTTTTCCCAATTTGTTCCAAACGCCATCCCAACGGAACGACCGGCACGATTCCGGGGCTGGGGCTGGGCTCCCGCACTGATTCAGCACCAGCTGCTGCTGAGTCAGTCCCGGAACATCTCCATCCAGCAGATACGAGGCCACATTTTTTGGCTCCCTCGCAAGGTTGTGGGGAGGACAAATTCATCCAAATTCATGGCAGCCCTTTGATTATCTCCAGGCTAAACCATGACGAGGCAGAACAAGCGTGGTGATCGCCAGTAATGAGGCAAAATGCAAATTCCAGGAGACACCTATGGCTAAAAAATATGGGTTTGGATGGATAAACAGGGAAGCTGGAATGGTCAATGGCTGTCTCACTTCCAGGAGGAAGGATGGCCGGGAGTATAAAAGGGCTCCGGGCCCAGCTCGCTTCATTCGCCCGTCTTCTCCTCCCTTCAGCTCTCCTCACTCTTCAGCAGGGTAAGTGAGAACTTCTAATCCTTCCTTCGTCTCCCAAAATGGAATTTTGGATGTCTCATAGCAGATCCAAGCATTGTTGGGGATCTGGGATGGGGCTCGGGCGTCAGGGTTTTACAAACTCTGCACGAGGAGTTCCGGGAATGACCTGGGAATGTTTGGGGAGGCTCTGGGGGTATCAGCTGGGCCATGCAGGGGAGGGACATGGAGAATATTCCAGAGAGGCCCAGAGTGAGGGCTCAGTGCTGGGTTGCTCTTCCTGAGACACCAGAATGAGTCGCTGGGCACCTGCACCACAGGAAAAACCCAGAGCTGTGGGCACAATTTACAAAGAGCACACGCCTGGGTTTGGCCTCCTTGAAGCCCCAGCAGGGAATGAATGACCAGAGCCTCGAATCCACCCCTGCTCCCAAACCTGCCGCTCCCCCTCACAGCCTCTCTCTGCTCCTTCCAGCTCCCACCACCCCCAAGATGCCCAACGGATGCTGCGGATCCAGCGGTGGGAATAACTACACCGTGTGCTGCTACAGCAGCCCCCGCTGCTGCAAGACCCCCATGTGCTGCAGCCCCATGCAGTGCTGCAGCCCCTGCTGCATGCCCATGCAGTCCTGCTGCATGTCCATGCCCTGCTGCTACACCATCCGCAGCAACAACAACAGCAGCTGCTGCGGCGGCTGCTGCGGCAGCAACTGAGCTCGCCTGGCGGTCCCTGCCTCGGACACGGACGTGGACGTGGATGTGGACGTGGATCCCAGCCCAAACGCTCTTCCCGCTGTGCTTGGACGCTGAGAACTTCTCTTTTTGCTGCCTTTAGTGCCCAGGTGCTTGGCTGCGCCCCGGAGCCGCTGCCCAGCGAGTTTCTGGCGCTGCTTTTCCTTCCCCTCTTGGTGATGGGATGCTCAGTGCTGTCTCCTTGTCCCTTCTCTTTCTTTAATCCCCAATTAGCCATGAAAGCCAATAAAATTTGTAACTTCTGATCCTGCAAACTACTGGGTTATGTTTATTCATTTCTCTTTATCCCTTGAAGAGTAGTGTGGGATGTGTTTAGCATTTGCCTAATTGATTAATGTAATTAATTTTGCATGTTTGGCGTTCCGCGATGACAACGCCCCGGTGTACCTGGTGAACTCCTTGGGCCAATGCTCACCTGGGGGAAAATGGGACTTGCAAGTGAAAATGTCACCTCAGCAGGAGGAACATCCGTTTAATTCCATCTTTCTCCTGCAGATTTGAGACCCAGTTCACGGCCAAAGCATCTCTGTGGTCCTAAAGGCAGAGCTGGAGGTCTTTTTTTCCTAATTTGAATCTTCCCAGAGAATTTGCTGAGCTTTAAAGGAGGGGTCTTAAATGTATTAAATAGACCAATTAAATATTGATTATAGATCAATTAAAAATTAAATATTAACTAGGATGGTTCAGGTTGGAAGTGACTTTAAAGCTCATCTAGTGCCATCCCCTGCCAGGGACAGGGACACCTCCCACTAGCCCAGGTTGATCAGATTTAGGTCCAGCCTGAAGGATCCAGAAACACTGAGTCATTTTCTCTGGGTCCTATTAAAATGTGGGAAATTTTAAGAGACCAGATCAGAAATTCAATATTCGCACTTGGGGATTTGTGAAATCCTTGGGAAGGGAAGTGGCTCCAAAACTTCTCTAAAGTGTGAAAAAAAAAAAAATCCAAATCCAGCATAAACTTGGGACTCTGGCAATGAGTTCTAAACGTAAAATCCTGTTTGGCCCTAACAGATCCCGAGGTCTTTTTCACCTTTCTGCACAAATCCCATGGCTTCCTGCCAGGCAATTCCACTTCTCCTGTAGCTATGGAATAAATTACAGCAGAGCCCTGTCAGGTGCCAGCATAGCCCTGGAGCCACACCCCCGAATTCTGCGGATGCTTTTCCTAGTGATTCAAACCCAAATTCCACCGGACAGAGCTCTGCGCATCCTTTACTCCACATGGAAATGCCTTTGGAGCCCCTGGGGGTTCCTGGGAGAGGAATTTTCCTGGTACTTAAAAAATGTCTCGGCCACAGAAATGCTAAACGGAGCAGCTCTGCAGAGTGTGAATCAAAGCGAAAATGCCAGAAAGGTGGACAGGGCGCTTGGCAGAGCCTGGAATTGTTTCTGTGTGAGGTCATCGCTCCTCTGGTGTCCGCATTCCAGACTTTCCACACATAAAAGGCTTTTCCGTGCTGTAGCCAAGATGCTCCGCACTTGGGAGCGAATTAAACCCGATTTAAATCAGGGAATAAACCTGCAAAAGCCGCATGCCCAGCCTGCCGCTGTCCCCCGTGCCCGGTACCCGTAGGGATCCCGGATTCCCATCTCCCAGTCACCCACAGGAGCAACACCCGCCGCTCCTCGCGGTGCTGGGGCCACCCTGGATTCCCTCCCCTTCATCTGAAGGACTCCTGGACCTTCCTGTGGTTTTCCCACCGCCAGCAGAGTCCCCTGCTGGGCGCATCACTCAGCGCCCCGGCATCCCAGGTATCCGCGCCCGGGATCCCGAATGACTAACCCGAACCAGGAGCCCATCCGAGCCCGGCCAGAACTAATGGGATAATGGCCACTGCCTCTGCAGAGCGCTAATTGTGGCTGATTAACCCGACAGCGAGTTCCAGGAACAAAACACACACACACACACTCACACACACACACACACACACACACACGGCAGCGGCCTCAGTGCTCAGCTATTCATTCCCAGGACGTGCCTCATTCCCAGGACAGCTCGGCCGCATATAAAAGCTTTCAGCCCCAGCTCTGTCCTCAAGACTCGACTCCCTGCTCAGCCCGTCCGTTTCTGCTCGCAGGGTGAGTTGGTTTCTCTCAGATTCCTCCGTTTTCCCTTGGAAATAGCAAAAAGAAGAAGAAGAAGAAAAAAAAAAAGTCGTCGGTGTTTTGTTTGCTTTTCCCCAGGTTGTTTATGCCCAAGGGCTTGGTCACCCTCAAAGGATTTGTGAGTCATGGGAGAAGCAGCTCCCGAGGGAATTGGGGGGCTCAGCCTGGAGAAAAGGAGGTTCAGGGGGAATTTCGGGCTCTGACAACTCCTGACAGGAGGGGACAGCAGCGGGGGTCAGGCTCTGCTCCAGGGAACAGGTTCAGGAGGAGAGAAGCTGTGCCAGGGCAGGCTCGGGAGGAATTTCCTCCTGGAGAGGGCGGTCAGGGCTTGGCAGGGGCTGCCCAGGGAGGCTTGGCGTGCCCATCCCTGGAGGTGCCCAAGGAATTCCTGGTGCTCTGGGCTGGGCGATGTTGATCCATCACAGGCTGGACTGCACGACCCTGGAATTCTTTCCCACCCTCCGTAACTCCCCGCTTCTGTGATCTCTGCCCTAGGATGCTCCACCAGAAAGGCGGCACCGACCGCGACCTGTGCCAGCACCGCTCGGGCGGCAGCCACGACACCCCCGAGATCTGCCCCGACCCCGGCAGCCTCAGCCACGACACCGAGGGCTCCAGCCAGAGCCCTGCCCGGGGCTGCCACCCCTGCGAGCTGTGCCCGCCCCGGCCCGCCTGCTGCCCGGCCCCGCAGAGCTGCAAGCCCCGGCGGCGGGTGGAGGTGAGCCCGGTGCCCCCCGTGTGCCCCCCGCCCGTGAAGATCCGCCGCCGGCCGCTGGAGCAGCACCGCCCGTGCCCGCCGTGCCCGGAGCGCGACTCCTGCGGGAAGCCCCGCCGGCGGGTGGAGCAGCGCCCCGAGCAGGATGAGGAGCCCCCGGTGGTCCTGCAGCCCCTGCCGCTGCAGCATCGCTGCCCCTGCATCCAGCGCTGCCCCCGGGCCGTGCCCTGCTGCCCCCGGCCCGTGCCCTGCTGCCCCCGGGCCGTGCCCCGCTGCCCCCGGCCCGTCCAGCGCTGCTGCCCGCCCGCTGTCCCCCTGCCACCGCACCCCGGCCACCACCAGCAGCACAAGCAGGTCACGCTGGTGCCGCTCTGCGTGAAGAACTGAGCCCGGGGACCCCTCCCCAGCTCCTGCCCCTCGGGGGGATTCGCCCCCCGGGCCCGCGGGATGCTCCCAGCGCCGCTCCGGGCTGCCTGCTGCTCTTTGCACATCAGATTTGGGGTCTGCCATCCCCTGCTTGGCCCCAGCACCGACACTTTAAACTCGGGGTGTCCTTCCCTGCCGGGCTTTGGCTCTCCCCGGGCAGCAGCAGAGGGATCTGCTCTCCCGAACTTCACCGGGCTGTGCTTTCAAGGTTCTTTGGAAGCAGCTCCGGGTCTTTACGAGGAAAAGAGGAGCCACTGTGACGGCAGGAGCGCCGCGGACTCCTGCAACTTTATCTCCTCCCTCTGTATTCAAGAATAAAGTTGAAAAATATTTAGCAAACCATCGGTTCCTCTCTTTCTTGCCCCCGCAAGCATCACCGACATTACAACGAGAAGATGTCAAAAGCCATTAAAACCCTGGCGAGGAAATTCGTACATTTAAATCAGAGTCAGGGCTCACACGGGAGGGTTCAGCTCTGCCCGCAGGGATTTCTCCAGGCTGGGAGCTGGAAAATCCTCCCCACCGTGATTTACCCACCCCGGGAGCTCGGGATGGGCAGATCCGGGCACCGACCTCTGCTCTGCGGCCGTGCCAGCACCTTCAGCCCCTGGATGGAAGCAGTGCACGGGGAGGGCATCCTCATTTACATGTTAATTATGATAATGAGCGCGTGGCCCGGCACGGGAGGGGTGGCTGTGCATGCCGGGGATGCCTTTTCGCTCCTGCAGGAAGGTGCAGGCGCACGGGTAACCTGCTCCTTCTCCTCACTTTGCCAGAAAAGCCTCCCGCAAAGTGCGTGAAAGGAAATAATTTAATTTCTTTGTGTTGTCTCGGCATCACCCGGGCGTGTCCTCACACAGCCACCGCTGAGAGCTGGGAAGGAAAAAAAGGAAATGCAATCCTCGTTTTCTCCACCACAACAATTTATTTCTCTCGTGTCTAATTCTAGCCAAATAAAAAACCACTAGATTAAAAAAAAAACCAACAAAAACACGTACCTGTGAAATTTACCTTGGCAGAGCTCTTTTTTATTAAGGATTTTCTTCCCAACCTTTTCCCAGTTCCCAGCACGGTGACTCAGGGCCCACAGACCAAGGGCCAGCTCAGCCCTCGCTTCCAGCTCTGATTTGGTCCAGTTTCTCTTCCAAGATGCTTTTCACCAGCCCTCCCATCGCAGTTACCCCACCCCAGTTACCCCATCCCAATTACCCACCCCAGTTACCCCACCCCAGTTACCCCATCCCAGCCACAGGCCTGTTCCTTCAGAATTCCAGCCCCTCACCCCAATTTGAGGATTTTCCAAGTCCATCCCATTGTCCAGGGTTTTTATGAAGGTGCTAAACAGCACCAGCACCAGAATCAGCCCCTCCTTCACCCCCACGTTGTTCATCCACCCAGTCCAAGACTCCACCAGTTTAACCCCGAGGCTGCTGTGGGAGACAGCGCCAAAAACCTCGCAGAGGTTGGGGCAGAACCATGGAATCATGGAATGGTTTGGGTTGGGAGGAACGTCAAAAAAACATCTTGGGGGTGAGGGGAAAGGCAAGTTTGGAATGCAGAAATGGAGGAGAAACAGAATCATGGAATGGTTTGGGTTGGAAGGGACCTCAAAAAAACCATCTTGGGGATGAGGGGAGGGACAAGCCTGGAATGCAGAAATGGAGGAGAAACAGAATCACGGAATGGTTTGGGTTGGAAGGGACCTTAGGGATCATCTCACTGCAACTCCCACGGGCAGGGACACCTTCCACCATCCCAGCCCTGTCCAGCCTGGCCTGGGACACTTCCAGGAATGAGGCAGCCAGAAATTCCCTGGAAAAGCCGTGTCAGGCCCTGCCCGCCCTCGCTCCCTCGTGCCCAGAGCCAAGCCCTTGATCACAGAAACCGACGGGCACAATTTGCTTTTGGTGACTCTGAGCTGTCTCTTCCCATCACCTGCTCGTGCTTCAGCTGGAGATGCTCCTCACGGGCAGCAGGAGGGGAGGGTCAGAGCGGTGCCATCACTGCTCCTGACTCACAGGTCACCCCTGCAGAGGGTGAATAAGTCCTTTATTACCTGTCTCACCCAGCCAAAGTGGGGCTTAGGCCACCTCAGTCTTTTATGTGCCCCGCTGGGGACCGATGTTATAATTAAAAGATGCTTATCAGAAATGGTGAGTCAAGCACGACATGCCAGGTGCTGGGAACAGCATCTAAATGGCGGAGATGTTTTGCCAATAAATAATTTAATCCTCGTTCCTGCCGTGTGTTTCACCTTCAGGGGAACATTCAGAGCTCTATAAAAGCCCTCGGCCCCTTGGCCTCTCACATTCTGCTCCCCTGGGCAGCGCCTGGCTTCATTTGAGACCTGGTGAGGCTCATCTCTTCTTGGATGGGGGTCTGGATTTGGGAGGTCACACCTGGACCTTGAGACCACGCTCTGCCACGGGAGAAGCTCTTGAGGGACCCGGGGGTGGGATTTACAGTGGTGCCACCACGTGTGGCTGTGCCTTGTGGTTGGTTTTGTTCTTGGAGGTGAAAAATCGGAAAGGGAAGGTCAGAAGGAGGGTTTGGATGCAGTTTGGATGCAATATGACCAGCCTTGGGCAACAGCAGGAATTTCCTCCGGATCCAGGCCCTCAGGATAAACCCCACAGGAAATTAAATTGATCAGAGGAGATGCTGACACCAACCCATCTCTTTTCCAGGTTTGTCCCCACGGCCCCGACATGATTTACTCCTCCGGAAGAGAATCCTTCTTCAACCTCAACTCCACCTGGTACGATCCCTCGGGCTCCTGGCTGGACACGCGGCGCACGCCCTTCCGCTACGGCTACAACACGTGCTGCTCCTCGGGCTGCCACGGCGAGGGCGCGGAGGGCATGAGGGGCCACGACTACCGCCACTACGGCTACCGGCAGCCCCGCTGCGCCGAGCGCTGCCACGGCTACGCCGCCTCCTCGGGCTCGTGCCACGGCGGGGGTGGCAGCTGCGTCAGGAGACCCACGTACAGCTACGGGGGCTCAGGGGGGTGCCAGGGCTATGGGAGGTCCGTGTGCTCCGAGAGGTGCCAGGGCTCCTCGGGCTCGTGCCACGGAGGGGGTGGCAGCTGTGTCAGGAGACCCACGTACAGCTACGGGGGCTCGGGGGGCTGCCAGGGCTACGGGAGGTCCGTGTGCTCCGAGAGGTGCCACGGGCCGGTGGCCCAGGGTGGGAAGCCAGGCTGTGGGACAGCCACGCAGAGCATCCCAGTGCAGAGCTGTCCCCCACTGGTGCAGAGCTGTCCCCAACCAGTGCAGAGCTGTCCCCAACCAGTGCAGAGCTGTCCCTGTCCCTGTCCCCCACCAGTGCAGAGCTGTCCCCCACCAGTGCAGAGAATCCCAGTGCAGAGCTGTCCCCCCCCAGTGCAGAGCTGTCCCTGTCCCTGTCCCCCACCGGTGCAGAGCTGTCCCTGTCCCTGTCCCCCTCCGATCCAGCAGGGCTGTGTGCCCGTGGCCAAGGGCATCCCCCGCCAGCAGCAGAAGCAGATCTGCAAAGTGCCAGCTCGGAAGATGAAATGAAGGACGTGAGGAGTGAAGGGGAAGCAAAGGGAACTTGTCCCTGTCCCCCCAGCCATGTCCTGCGTTGTCACCGATCTCTGCTCTGTCCCTCTGCTTGTAACGCGCCCCGAAGTCGTGACCCGCTGATGCTGTGAAATTTAAAATGCTCTTCATTTCACAGCAGATGTGGAGGCAATAAAAAATGTTGGCTCAAACCCTCCTCGCATGCGTGTTTTTATCTCCTCATCCGTCTGAGTGGCTCCTGGTCCTTCTGGTGGCCAAAGCTGGGCTTGCAGTGGCCTCGCCTGCCCTCACAGGGAGGCTCCCGGTTGGTTCCACCTGGTGGCTTCTCATTCCCACGTCAGGCAGTTTCTGCTTGGTAAAGTAACAGTTTTCATCACAGAGTGTTTATGCAAGGGGGTAATTCAATATTAATAAGGTTGTGCAAGAAAAATCCCCATTTCACCAGAAAGGGAGAAAGCAGAGGTGTCTGTTTGGGACAACAAGCCCACGGCTGCAGCTGGATTGTCACCAAAAACCTCCAAAAAAAGCCCTGGGGAAAAAAGGCAGGAAGAGGATTTGGGAATGGCTCTAACAGGGTGAAAGGCCCCACACTCCTGGTAGGGTATGGTAGGGCTGGGAGAGGAGCCCCCCAGGAGGATTTCTGGGGCCAAGCAGGGATGTGGAACCGCTCGGAGCTCCTGGCACCCCCCAGCCCGGGTGAGGGCCTCCATCCCCTCCTGGCACCAGGACCTGGCACACGGCACCATCAGCCACTTTCCCAGGGATTTCTGAAATCCCAGGTGGGGATTTCTGCTGCAGGAAAAGGGAAAGAAGCCAAAGCAGGTGTAGGACGGGGGTTTTCGGGGTGGAGATTGACACCGCCCCAAGCCTCCCTCGCCAACCTCTGCAAAGGCAATTCCTTCAAAAACCCAACAAACGACCCCAAAAAAGCCATTTCCCACTCAGAATGGTTCCCATGGATCCAGGGATGCCTCTCCAAGGAGCAGGAGCTTTGTAGGGGATGCAGAGACCGCTGTAGGGTGAGCAGAGTCCTGCCCCCTTTGTGGGCCCAGGTGCCCCCAGGCCCTGCTCAGGTGTTTGTCTCCATCCCTGAGATAAACAATGAACATGTTTATGCCCATCCATGGAATCAGGTCGGTAATTAATCATGAATAATGAGCTTCACAAGAATTTCCATTTCCCCAGTGTTTGTGAAATCAGATTTCCTAATCTATCAGGTCCAGTGAATCAGCTCCTCTGGGGACTGAGGAGTCTTCTGGACCCTGTGTTTTATTTTCATTCAATTCAGTTTTTGGGGTTTTTTTAATTTCACAGTGGTCTCTAGAACACTTCGGGAGATCAGGCCTGGACAGAAAGACACTTTTGTCCCCAAAGCAGAACGTTGAAGACACAGATCCCAACATCCTCCTGCTCCTACCAGGACGTTTTCCACATCCTATGGGGCATTAAATTCCTTCTGTTTGGGTTGAAAGCCTTTAAGAAAGAAATGGCTTGGAAAATCCCAGCACTGCTTTTAGTGCTTCTTTGCTGATTTTATTAAGAATTTTTGGTGTATCTTTGATGCTATGACCTGTCCAATTATGTTTATTTTTTACTACCCACCACCACAACCTTTTCTGCTCTCTTTCTCTTTTATTTCTGAGTTTCCTTTACAGCCCCACCTTCCCACCTTTTATCCGTCCCATCTCAGTTCAGAATTTGGGCACAAGGAACAGGTAAATGCCACAATCAAAGGTGGCAAAAAACATCCCAAACTCTCCCAGCCTTGCCCAGGAGCCCAGGCGTGGTGAACAATGAACATTTTTGTGGACTAACAACAGGGATGTTAGGCTATTGATCTGCTCAGTGGAGGTGGGGAACTTTTAATTAGCCAATTCTCTGTTCATTAGCCAAGTGCCCTGGGCACTGAGCAAGCACGTCCCTCCCATTTCTAGAGAAGTCCAATTCACATTTAAAAGCCCTCGCTCCCCGTTTCTCCTCAGCATCTCCTCAGCATCTCCTCAGCGTCTCCTCTCGAGCTCCTTCTGAACCAGGTGAGTCCAGATCCACCTGATTTTTGCTCTTCCAAAGCTCTCCAGCTTCTCCCCAATCCTGAGTTCTTGGGCACTTCTCTTCCACGTCCTGTCTCCATCTCAGTCCTTCTGCCGAGTAGGAAAACACAAAAATTCCTGGTCAGGTGGCCGAGGGCTCTGCGTGCCTTGCTCTGGAGTCTGTCCAGCTCTTCTCTTTTCACTTCTCTCTGAGAAGCCCAAGGCTCGCCCAAAGAGGCCACCACGGGCAGACGTGTGGTGCTAACTCTTCTCCTGCCCAAGAACTTGGCTTAGAACTGCGGAACGATGGAATTATGGAATCATGGAAAGGGTTGGGTTAGAAGGGACCTTAAAATTGGCTCACTGATTTTAGGGACACTCCCGTCCCCCACTAGCACATCCCAGGGTGTTCAAAGTCCCATCCAACACAGCCATGCAGTGTCCCTGCTCATTGCCTTCACTCACAGATGAGTTTTCCCAGCAGGTCTCCAACCATGTCCTCCCGCTGCCAGGACAAGGACAAGGAATGGCCCTCCTACCACGCAGAATTGCACTGCAGAGGCGGAGCCGGTGACGACCCAAGAGGTGGCCGTGGGGGTGGTGGTGGTAAATCCAGTAACCACACAAACAGTGGTGGATCTAGTAGCCACGGAAGCAGTGGTGGATCCAGTAGCCAGGCAAGCAGTGGTGGATCCAATAGCCACGGAAGCAGTGATGGATCCAGTAACCACACTAACAGTGGTGGATCTAGTAGCCACGGAAGCAGTGATGGATCCAGTAACCACACTAACAGTGGTGGATCCAGTAGCCACGGAAGCAGTGGTGGATCCAGTAGCCAGGCAAGCAGTGGTGGATCCAATAGCCACAAAAGCAGTGGTGGATCCAGTAGCCAGGCAAGCAGTGGTGGATCCAACAGCCACACGAGCAGTGGCTGATGCAGCACCCTCGGGAACGTATCTGGCAGCCATGGGAGCAGGGGATCCGGATTCCATGGGACCAACACAGGATCCGTCTCTGGAGGTATCTACTGCAACACCACCTACCACAGACCCTCAAATGACAACTGATCGCCCCACCAGCTGCCAGTGACCCGCAGGAATGCCCTGGATCCATGTTTGGAAAGCTTTGCATGTGCCCAGCAATTTCCAAGGACAACGTGTCCTCACCCTCCCCTGGTGTGTCCTGTAACCTCTCCTGAGATGCTCTGTGGGTGCTGAAATAAAGGCTTTGCTCACGCTGGCACGGCTGTGTCTGGATCAGTCTGTGACTACATTTGAGCTGCCATAATCCATCATTTCCGAGAGGTTTTCAGCAAAAAAAAAAAACCTGGGATGTTCTTCAGAGCCAGGATGGGGTTTTAGGGTTGAGATGTTCTCCAGAGCCAGAAAGGTAGCCCGGGATAGGGTTTTAGGGTTGGGATGTTCTCCAGAGCCAGAGAGGCAGCCCAGGATGGGGTTTTAGGGCTGGGAGGTTCTCCAGAGCCAGAGAGGCAGCCCGGGATGGGGTTTTAGGGTTGGGATGTTCTCCAGAGCCAGAGAGGCAGCCCGAGATGGGATTTTAGGGCTGGAACATTCTCCAGAGCCAGAGAGGCAGCCCGGGATGGGATTTTAGGGCTGGAACATTCTCCAGAGCCAGAGAGGCAGCCCAGGATGGGATTTTAGGGCTGGGAGGTTCTCCAGAGACAGAGAGGCAGCCCAGGATGGGATTTTAGGGCTGGAACATTCTCCAGAGCCAGAGAGGCAGCCCAGGATAGGATTTTAGGGCTGGAACATTCTCCAGAGCCAGAGAGGCAGCCCAGGATGGGATTTTAGGGCTGGGAGGTTCTCCAGAGACAGAGAGGCAGCCCAGGATGGGGTTTTAGGGCTGGAACATTCTCCAGAGCCAGAGAGGCAGCCCGGGATGGGGTTTTAGGGCTGGGAGGTTCTCCAGAGCCAGAGAAGCAGCCCAGGATGGGGTTTTAGGGTTTTTTTACCCAGCTCATTCCTGGCTTTATCTGGTGCCAGCTCCAGAACAGGGATTAAAACCTATAGACAAAGAACTCCTCTTTTTTTTGCTGTTTGGGCCCAAAACGCCGCCCCTGGGGGAGGTACCTCCACGTGGTGGTGGCAAACCCCCGGTCAGCCTTTCTAGAAAGGCTGTGCCCAGCCCTCTGTTTCATGCCAGGGGCGTCGCTCCATCCTTACACAACGAGCTCCTAAATTTCTTCTCAGGTTGTAATTAAAACGAATTGGGTAATTTATTGCTGTGCTATTGCCGTTCACGAAATGGATGTTACCGTGATAAGATTGTTCTCGAGTGCGTCAGGAGGATCAGAAATTTCTGGCATTGCTGAAAGGGGTGCAGGCAGCAGCTCACTCCCTGGTTTTGGGGCAGGGATGGCTCGGGAGGGCTCCTTGTCCCAGTCTGGGGTTTGCCTTGAGCCCCCCAATCCAAAACCCATTTCCAAGGCACATTAAGGTGGCCAACCACAAAACATAGAGGTGTCCATTGTGAACAATCTCAGAGTAATTAAAACACGAGGAAACAAACACAGCCAAAAATTCCTTTGAGTGTTTTTTTTCCCAGAGGTCATTGACCACATTTCTGCTGAGGCCAGAACAAAACCCAACTGAGGAGCAGCGACCAAACCCAGGCACAGTTTGTCCTGACATTGTTCTAGACCGTGGCAGAAGTTTAGCAAGACAAAAGAAGCTTCAGGTTGCTCACCTGGTTCCCTCACCTGCCCTGTCCTCCCACCTTTCCCAAAATCCTCTGTTTTGGGTAGCAGCAAATGTGGATGGGTTTTGGATGGCAGGAACCACTCAGTGTCCATCTCCCCGTGGTGACCATAAAATCAACGTGGACAAAGACAAATCAAAGGCAGGAGAGCTCGGGAGGAAGGGAAATATTTTCCACCCAGGGTTTTCCAAGCCTTTTCACACCAACAAAACCACAGCAGCTCCCAGATGGGAAAATCCAGATTTTAGCCTTTTTTTTTTTGTTTCCTGTTTAATGATTGCAATGTCTTCCATAAGCAGTGACAGAAAAGAGCCAAACAAGCTCCACAATCCTAAAGAATTCCCAGCCCACGCAGCAGAAAGGTACAGGGAGTATCCCAAATTATTGCCTCTCATGAGCTCTCCTGTCGGAACAGCTCCGGGATTTGATGGCCAATTAAGAGCTAATTGGGGATCAGGGAGAATGCAAAAAGGCTGTTCCTGCAGCTCTGGAGAAAGTCCTGGGGGTCTGCCAGTTGCCCACAGCTGTGTGTGGCCAAGGGCTCCTGTGGGATCCCTCCTCTTCCTCCTCCTCCTCCTCCTCCTCCTCCTCCTCCTCCTCTGGCAGCACCAGAACTGCTCACCTGGAATAAAACCATGGCACGGCTGCTCCGGAATTGTTCTGGGGCTGAGACTCAACCACATAATTAAGCACCTTGCTAATCCTGGATCGTTACCCAGGGCAGGGCTTATTCATTCCAAAAATAAGAATTCCAGCTGCTTGTGGTCCTCATGGCAATGTTGGAGTTTCCTCACTGCCCCACGGGGTGTTTTGATCAGTTCTGAGAGGAACGAGCCAACAGTGATTCCAGGCAAATCCCAAAATCCCTGAGGCTGGAAAAGCCCCCCAGGGCCATCCAGTCCAAGCTGTGCCCAATCCCCACCTTGTCCCCAGCCCAGAGGGTCACGGCCAGGCCTTCCTTGGACACCTCCAGGGACGGCGACTCCAAACCCATTCCAAGGCCTGGCCGCCCTTACCAGGAAAAAATTCCTCCTGATTCCAACCTGAGCCTCCTGTCAAGGAGTTGTGCAGAGGCAGAAATTTCCCCTGAGCCCCCTTTTCTCCAGGCTGGGCCGCCCCAGCTCCCTCAGGAGCTCTCCAGCTCCTTCCCCAGCTCCATTCCCTTCTCTGGACCCACTCCAGCCCCTCTTGCCATGCGGGCAAGATCCAAATATCTCTTCCAAAAATCCCAAATATCCCTTCCAATAATCCCAAATATCCCTTCCAAAATCCCAAGCATCCTGCCTCAGCCTTCCTGCGTTTGGTTTCACCAAAGGTAAAAAGAGCTGGACACAGCACTATCCATTCCCCCACGGGTGCCCAGCATGGAGAGAATTCCTGCTAAAGCAGAGTTTTCTCCTTTCCCAAAGCTGTTTTTGGTACTTCCAGGCCCCTCTCGGTTTTTAGGGGAGTTGCAGGCCCAGAGAACCTCAGGATATTCTGGAGGGAAGTTGTGGTTTGGGGATGAGACATTATCTCCCCCTGAACCCAAAGCACTCCCGGGGTGTGATCAACACCAAACCGGAGCTGAGGAAACCGGGGCCACCCACACGGCTCCCCCAGCCCAGCCCCGCGCAGGCAGAGCCGGCAATTAAAGTTCTGTGGACAGGAAAGGCGACCTAGAAGGAGAGGCAATCCCAGCGAGGATCAGGTGAGTCACCCCACGAGCCCAAGGAATGGGGAGGCATAAAAATTAAAAAAAAAAAAAAGCCACCCGCGAATTAAATGAACGGGCAGAGCTGTGGGACAGGGAGGGGCTTCTCCAGGTGGGGTGTGCAGAGAGGGTATAAAAGTGCTCCTGTCCCCAAAAGTCTCATTCCCTCTCTTCTCTCCTCATCTCTTCCTGCACGAGCAGCTCAGGTAAGAGCTGGGGGGCTCCAGAACCTTCAGGCGGGGAGGGTGAGTTTGGATCCACACCTGGAACGGGGCTGGGATTTGTTCTGGGGTGGCTGAGGAGGGAGCAGAGGTGGGGATGTGGAGGGAGGGTTTGGGGTGCTGGGTCTGGCTTTGGAAAGCCAGGCATGGTCTGGATGTCCCCACCGCCTTGGGTGGGACAATGCCGGGGGAAAAGGATCCAGTGCGAGCTTTGAACAGAAATATGGGATCTGGCTGAGACTGGGAAAAGGAACACCCGGATTCCTCTTGCTTGGAAGGGCAGGAGCAGGAAGGAAAGGCCCCTGCCAGCTGCTGTGTCCCCACAGGTGACCCAGCACAGCACCATGTGCTCCCGCCAGGACAAGGACCAGTGCCACCGGCAGCAGCGCCAGAGCAGCGGCGGCTGCCACAGCTCGGGGGGTGGCGGCTGCCACAGCTCCGGGGGCAGCTCCGGGGGCTGCCACAGCTCTGGTGGCAGCTCCGGCGGCTGCCACAGCTCGGGAGGTGGCGGCTGCCACAGCTCCGGTGGCGGTGGCTGTCACAGCTCCGGTGGTGGCGGCTGTCACAGCTCCGGTGGTGGCGGCTGTCACAGCTCCGGTGGCGGTGGCTGTCACAGCTCCGGTGGTGGCGGCTGCCACGGGATGCCGCAGATGCAGGGCCAGCAGCAGCAGCAGCAGCAGCAGGTGATGCAGATGCCGCAGCAGAAGATGAAGTGACAGCGAGGCCCTCGCCTCGTCCCAGCTCCGGCCTTCGCTCCCTCCCACCTCCCGGGGGCTCCCAAAGCCTCCCCGGTGCCCTCCGGAGCCTGGCAAGGGCCGGGCTGGTGCTGCCCAGGCTGTGCCAAATAAAGAGTCACATTCCCTAAATCCCTCTGCTGTTGGTGTTTCCTTACGCTCCGGAGCCAGGGACGCAGCCCAGGATGGGGTTTTGGGGTTGGATGTTCTCCAGAGCCAGGATGGGTTTTAGGGCTGGAACATTTGGGTTTTAGGGCTGGAACATTTGGGTTTTAGGGCTGGAACGTTCTTGAAAGCCAGGATGGGTTTTTATGGCTAGAATGTTCTCCAGAGCCAGGATGGGTTTTAGGGCTGGAACATTTGGGTTTTAGGGCTGGAATGTTCTCCAGAGCCAGGATGGGGTTTTAGGGCTGGAACGTTCTCCAAAGCCAGGAAGTTCTCCAGAGCCAGGATGGGTTTTAGGGCTAGAACATTCTCCAGAGCCAGGATGGGTTTTAGGGGTGGAACATTCTCCAGAACCAGGATGGGGTTTAAGGTCTGGGAGGTTCTCCAGAACCAGGATGGGGTTTTAGAGCTGGGATCTCATGGAGAAGAAAAAAACACTCTCTCTTTTTTACCCGGATCACTCCTGGCTTTATCTGGTGCCAGCTCCAGAGCAGGGATTAAGCTCTGGGAGCAGAAGGGGCTATAATTAAAGCTGGGTTTAACTCCACCAAGCAAAGCCCGAGCAGAGGAACCTCTGGAGAAGCAGGCACCCACTGCAGGCGGGTGAGGCTGGCAATTAGCAGCTGCTGCAGCACAGGAAACAGATAAAAACGGAGCGATACCCATCGCAGTGAGTCAGGGAGCGTAAACACAGCTTGGCAATCAGGGCTGGAGTGACAGATCAATGACACGGAGCTGCCTCATTTCCTGGAAAAAGGAGGGACAAGCCCTGCAGAGCTGCTCCCACCCCTGGGTAGGAACGTGCCCCCTGTTGATGGAGTAAAAAAGTTACCCTTTGTTTCCTTAAAAAGGAAAAAATCCCTGATGTTTCCTCGATTTGGTTAAAAGACACCTCATAGGACCTCGGGGACTTCACCTCAAACTTAAGGGTAGCCAATTGGGCAGAAGCCAAAAAGTCTCACAAGGAATTATCTAGGAAAAGAAGAGAACAAAAGAAGAGAACAAAAGAAGAAAATCGCTTTTGTGAAGTGTTTTAGCAGGAACAAGAACCTCATGCACTGACTCGGTTTTTCTCTGTAAAGAGCTTTTTTTATTTTGCCTTTTACTAAAACTTTTTGTTTCCAACACCGTCACAGGAGCCATCCTGCTACTTTTGTGCTGCCTGAGGTAGCTGAGCTATCAAGGGTATAATGCTTATCTCTGAGAGTTTGTAAGACCAGGCTTAAAGAGACAAAGTATTACCCCAGGATTCTCATTCCCTGCTCTGGCTTTGCCCTCACGCTCGGGTAACTCTGGCAGCACAGGTGGATTTTCCTCCCTTGGGGAATCTCTTCCCAGAGCAGGATGCGGAGCTGGGATGGGGTCAGGGTCGGGGTTGGGATGCAGGGAGGGAGGTCAGGGAGGATTCCTCCCTCTGGGAATTACTCTGGATCCCAGGAAGGAGCTCCGGGATCCTGCACAGCAGCGCTGAGGGACTGGGAGGGCTTTAGAGTGGAACGGGGCCCAGGGACAACTGGGACAATGGTGGCACTGGGACCATGGCGGTGGTGGCACCCCAGCAGCCCCTGCCAGCTGCTGTGTCCCCCACAGGTCACTCAGTCTCGGGGTCTGGGTGTCGGGATGACCCCAGGAGTGTAAAAGTCCTCGTTTCCCAGCCCTGCAGCCAAAGGAGGAGTCTGAGTGTGCAGGATTGGCTTCTCAAGGTTGTTTATTTTCCTTATCTTGAACATTCTTTCTCTGACCTGCTGAGCGCTGTCCAGCAGATCGGCCATTGCATTCTGTCCCCAATCCTGGGTGACATTTACATTTTATACCCAAAACTCAGTGTATTATATTTATAATATTGTGCCAATACCTATCATCTATGTTGGACAGTGTGTCTGTACCTTAAGCCAATAGAAAAGTGACACCACCCACCAAGACATGCAGGGCAAGAAGAAGGAGAAGAAGGTCAGGACACACCCAAATCCCTCCATCTTGTACCCCCTGAATCCCATTCTAAAAACCCCAAAATTCCACTTTTCCCACCCTGTGTTAACTCAACTACCACACTGCTCAAACCCTTGTGACTTGTAATTCCTCACACAGAGTTGGCAGGTTTTTTTCCACAGGTTAAATTGAAGCCACGGGTGGTTTTGACTTTGTGCCAAGGTCTCCGAGCCCCTGCCAAGGTCTGCAGCCAGCCAGGGCAGCCCGAGGGATGTGCTGGACTCCGACAACCCAGCACACTCCCACCTCCCCGGGGCTCCCAACCCCTCCCCAGTGCCCTCCGGAGCCTGGCCCAACAAAAACTCACATTCCTAAATCCCTCTGGCGCTTGTGCTTCCCTAAACTCAGAGCCACGGGATGGGAGAGGTTGGGAAAGACCTCTGAGATCACTGATTCCAAACTTCTCACTCGTGTTTTCTGTGCCACTGGGAGGATCCCGATGGATTTAATGCAGGCTTTGTGCCAGAGCTGAGTTCCCCTGAACCTTGGGAATGTGCTGGTGGCTGTGGATCATCCCTGGGGGGGACCATCCCTGGGGGACCATCCCTGGGGGATCCCAATCTTGCAGAAATCCCAAAATCCTCTCCCCAGAGCATTTCCTGCTGGACCCCACAGCCCATAGACCCCCAGGGCTTCCAAAGCCTTTCCCAACCCCACGGAGCTTCCCCAGCACAGCTTTGAGCACCCTCCCGCCTCGGGAGGCTCCCAAAATCCAGGCAGGCACCAGGTTGGACAGTTTTTATTGGGTTTTTTGTGGTGTTACAACCATTTATGTGGGAAGGGGAAAAATAAGCTGGGAAAAAAGGTCTTTGGGATATTTACAGTGCAGAAAGATCTCAGTGAAAACCACGAGGAGCCCCCTCAGCCAGAACTGAAGGATTGGCTGCAGCTGAGGTGCATTTTTGGCGTGTCCATCCCCCCAAAAAAAGTGGGAATTTTGCTGTTGATTCCAAAAGAGCTGGAGATGAGCTCCCAACAACAAACTTTTAATTTTCCCCCAGGAATTGCCACTCTGGGCTCGTTATTGCTGAACGGGCTGACTCAAATAATTACCCTGCTCATCCCAGCCCTGTTAACCAAGGATTTTTTCACTTTCTCCCCATTAATAAACAGGGTGAAGGGGTTGAGATTTCAGCAGGGTTGAGCTTTTTGCTTTTATGAGAAAAAAAAAGAGAAAATCTGTCCCAAACCACCCCCCACAAACCTTCAAAGCTGCATTTTTAAGCACCCCAAGGAGACACTGCTGGAGCGTTGGGACCGAAGGAGACCTGGGGATATTTTTGCCTCATGGAGGTAACTTGGTGGAGCTGGGCATGGTCCTCACGTGTCCCAGGACGTGCCTGGCCTGGAAGGAGGAGCAGGGAAAGCCTGGAAGGAGATCCCAGCAGCGGAGCAATCCAGGGATGCTACGGAAAGGGAGGAAAACCCACGGGGGCTTCACCCACGGCCACCCCAAAACCCAGCAGGACTCAGTCCCTCCCTCCAGCCCGCTCTGCTTGGCACTGATTGGTGCCTAATTACTGCACGAGTTTAATCAGAGCTGATTAAAGCCCCTGCAGAGCTCAGCTCCTGCTCCATCCCACCTTCCCCGCTGGGCTGGGCTCGCTGCGATGACCCTCGTCACCCCGGGGTGACACCAGGGACGGCTCTGTCCCCACCCCAGAGGGGTCCCATGGGTGCCAGCTCCCTGCTGTCCCTTACCTGCTCCCTCCACGTGCCAGGAGCAGCGCAGAGCCCTCAGTAGATGCAGGGCTTGGCCTTCTCCTTGTTGATGGGCTCCGTGTCGGGCTCCGAGGGCCGGGGGATGGCTCTGTACTTGCAGCTCGGGGACCTCTGCGGGGACACGACCCCGTCAGCCCCTCCGAGCCCTCGGCCCCTCCGAGCCCTCGGCCCCTCCGAGCCCTCGGCCCGAGCAGCAGGCACTGCTGGAGGATGCCCAAACCCTCTCCTGGGCACAGCCAGAGCTGCCCCTTCCACGCCCTCGCCTCCCGTTCCCTGCGGGAAAAGGGGATGGGGCACCGGAGCGCCGCAGGAAAAACCCCAAGAGTGGAGAGACCCCAGCCCAGCCCGGGGTGTGGGGCGGCTGCTGCAGACCCCCAACCCCCCCAGCCAGCCCGAAATACCCCAGAGGACAGAGGGCGATGGGGTGACAGCGGGAACGACTTCCCCTGGTGTCTGGACACTCTCACATCCCAGATTTTGAACACAAATTCCCGAATTTCAGGAGTTCCCAGCTGTGGGTGTCCATCGTACCTCTCTGTCCTCCTGACCCCATTCCCCGTGTTCTGTCCCTGCAGTTCCTGAGGAAAAGTCCCTCTCCAGCTTCCCTGGAGCCCCTGCAGATCTTGGGGGGGCTCTGGGGTCTCCACAGGCTCAACATTCCCAACATTCCCAATATTCCCAGCCTGGATCCATCGGGGAAGGGCTCCAGTCCCTTTATCAAATTCCGGGCTCGCTCCAACAATTCCACGTCCCTTTCCCACCCTCCTTTTCCCCTCCAGCCCCTGCTCGTACCTTGACAGGAACGAATTCCTGCTGGATCAGCTTCTTGAACTCGCTCCTGCTGAAGGGCTCCGATTTCCTGCCCTTCCTGGGGCTGCCCTGGGAACTCTGCATCATCTCAGTGATGGCTTTGATCAGCCTGGACATGGCTCCAGTCCTGGAGAGGAGCAGAACCTGAGGCCACAGTCACTGTCCAAAAATCCCGAACACCCCTTCCAAAAAATCCCAAACATCCCTTCTGAAAAATCCCAAACATCCCTTCCAGTAATCCCAAATATCCCTTCCAATAATCCTAAACATCCCTTCCAATAATCCCAAATATCCCTTCCAATAATCCTAAACATCCCTTCCAATAATCCCAAATATCCCTTCCAATAATCCTAAACATCCCTTCCAAAAATCCCAAGCATCCTGCCTCAGCCTTCCTGCGTTTGATTTCACCAAAGGTAAAAAGAAACTTCTTTTCCCCCAGTTTC